GAAATCCCAAATAGTAAAGAGTAAAAACAACCAACCACAAACTGATTACTTAAAATTTTAAATTTCTTTTTTTCTTGGGGGTGGGGGAGTAGTCGAATTCTGTCATTTCTTAAGTCTGTTGTTGGATCCTCTACCCGTGGCACTGAATGCTCTTCTCAACAGGCAGATAATCCTAAAAGAATCATGCAGGAAAGATATATTTTAGAGAATATTGGCTATTTGCATTATTGGAACAGTATTAGCTGTTGATAATGGGTAATGCTGGCTTTGGAAGTCACATCTATTGGTTATATTAAGCACTAGTGAGTATAAACCAAGGACTGGTTTCTTAGTTGCAAATCTGCACATAAGACTTGAACAACACACACACAAAAAAAGACTTGAACAACAAAGGCTTAGAACAAGAGGGAATAGGAGTAGACTAGGAAGTGTATGATGGGATGGCCAGGACTTCAGACTTGTTAAGATATGAAATGTGTGTATCTTTGAATCTTACTATGAAATTTCTCTGTGCTGTAGCTTTCTTGTGGCGGACCTCTCGACCGGCAATGAAGAATGACCACCACACCAGGATTCCACTCAGATCACGCTTTTACTGGAGTGCCCTTGATTGACGGGGAGCATGGAATGAGGGGCGGGAAAACGAGGAACAGGGAGCAGACGGGAGAGGCAGCAGGAAGCGAAGGGGCCGGGGTGCACTAAGGCAGCCGCTTAAATAGGGAATTGGCACACGGGTAGCCCTGTGATTGGCTGCCACCAACAGCTGACACCAGACCGCATCGGGATAGGCTCAAGGATCCTCATCCTCTGCGCATGCGGGAAGCGGGGACGCGCAGCTCTCAAAGCCATAGCCAAATATGGAGTTGTTTATAACCAACAAGACAGGATGTCGGCGCCATCTTGTAATGGCGATCCTGTCCGGCTCACTACAATTCCCCCTTATTGTTTGTAAGCAATGAGCGCAGGACTAACGTCATCCAATCTGACCCCCACCTCATGATGTGTTGGTCGATCGAGGATGGAAGATATTTTCCATGGACACACCTTCCCCTGTGCAATGGGTACTCGAGGAACCCCGGGGGTGCAAAGGCTGTGTCGCAGGAACCTACAACCATACACCTTCCCAAGTGCAATGGATCGACAGATCCCATGGGGTGCAAAGGCTGTGCAGGAGGAACCTACATCCGTACACCTACCCAAGTGCAATGGATCAATCAACAGATCCCATGGGGTGCAAAGGCTGTGCAGGATGGAAGCCCTAAGCGTCTCTTAGTGCTGACAACCATATCTGGGGGAAGGAGCCACACTCCAGGGTAGCTAAAGCCTGAGAGATTATAACCTTATCCCAATATAGCCTTATCCCTATTGGTCTGGCGCTCGAAGGCAGCAAACCAACCATAGGCACAACACATAGCCACCCAGGCAGCTTGCCAAAAAACATGCCCATGGAACTGAAAGCACAGGGACCCTTTCTCTGTAATGTTACGTGCTTCTCCTAAAAGGGCCACTTTAGACTTATAACTCAAGGTTTCTATCGGTGGTAAAAATCTGGGGAAATCATGGCGAACGGGCATCGCCTTTGGGAAGGCTGACAGGCTTCTCCTTCTGTGCTCCACCTTCCCCTGGATCCACGTCATCAGGGATGTTAGCAGGAACTTTCTCCAGCGACTCAGCCTCTTCCTTAGGAACTTCCTTGATCATGCGTGTCAGCCGGCTCGGAATCCAAAGTGGAGCCTCTTGGCCCTGTGGAAAAACACATACAGCTCCCCTGGATCTTGCCACCGCAAGATCCGGTCCATACCATTTGTTATCCAATATATCTTTCCACATCACATATTCCTTTTGTTCCATAGGGCCTGCTGCATGCTTTTCAGCTGCTGCAGTACCCGGCTCATTCAGGTTTAAAAAATTAAGTGTGAAGAGAGCAAGGGAGATTCTTTCCCTGGGGGAGGCGGATTCAGCTATTCCCCCTTTTTGTTTTTGTAGAATTTCTTTAATATTTCTGTTGGCTCTCTCCACAATACCTTGTCCTTGTGGATTGTATGGAAGACCCGTAATGTGGGTCACTTGGAGCTGTGCGCAAAAGGCACGAAATCCATGGGAGGTATATGCCGGGCCATTGTCTGTCTTCAGGCGTAGGGGTTTTCCCCAGGCAGCCCAGGCCTCAAGGCAATGTGTTTTTACATGAGTCACCTTTTCTCCCGCTAGGGGCGTGGCATGAATAATGCCAGAAAAGGTATCCACTGATACATGTAAATATTTTAATTTGCCAAAATTAGGCAGATGGGTAACATCCATTTGCCATAACGCGTTAGGTTGCAGCCCTCTAGGGTTGACCCCAACATTAGGAGGGTATAAAAAGGTCACACATGAAGAACAGGCTTTAACTATATCTCTGGCTATCTGTCTGGAAATATGAAATTTTTTTCTAAGGGTATTGGCAGGCACATGCCAAAGCTTATGAAAATCTCGTGCTAATTCTACAGGGTCCGAGACGACCAAAGCCATGGACCGGGTAAGGCAGTCAGCCAAATCATTGGCCTCAGACATGGGTCCTGGAAGCAAAGTATGTGCCCGAATATGTCCAATGAAAAAGGGATTATCCCTTTGTAAAATGCACGCTTGAATTTGACATAAAATATTGGAAACTGTACTTGAATTTCTAACAAAGGCGGCCACCTCCAACGAGGCAACAGCATTCACCACATATTTAGAATCTGAAAATAAATTGAAGGGTTCTGAAAATCTTTTAAAAACTTCCAGCACGGTCATACATTCCGTGACTTGTGGGGAATCAGGTCGAAAATCAAGCAAAATGGGTTCCCTACCTTGAATTACTATGGCACCTTTGCCAGTTTTGGAGCCATCAGTAAAAACAGTCAAGGCCATATTAATGGGCTTTTTAAAGGTAACCTTAGGAAAATACACTAAGTTCCTTTCCACAAAATTCAATATGGGATGTCTTGGATAATGATTATCAATAAGGTTAGGAAAAGCGCAAACCAAAACAGCCCATTCATTTACTGTAGCTGCCAATGTCTCCACCTGTCCCTTGGTATAGGGAATAATTAATTTATCTGGCATGGTTGCAAAAGATGTTAAGCAATGTTTTATCCCCAATACCGCTTGAGAAGCAACCAACTCAGGATAATATTGAATAGCTTTGGTACCTGAAGAATTACCATGGAACCACCATAAAGGGCCATCTTGCCATAGCACCCCAGTAGGGTAATGTGTAGTTTTTAAGATGCATAAGAATATGGGCAAAGCAGGATCGACTCGGCACAATTGTGCCTTAGTCATTGCTTTCTCCACCTGTTTTAAAGCCTTTTCAGCCAAGGGGGTCAAAGTTCTGTTTGAGTTAACATTTGGATCACCTTCCAAAATAGAAAACAAGGGCAACAACTTTGCCCGGGGGATGTTTAAATACCCCCTAATCCAATTAATATCCCCCAATAATTGTTGAAAATCATTAAGTGTCCTCAAATGATGGGTGCGAATGGAAATCTTTTGAGGGGTCACCGTCAAAGGGGATATAATTGCCCCCAGAAATTTTATAGTAGTAGTCTGTTGGATCTTATCAGGTGCCAAGACCAGGCCCCAATGGCGTAGGGCCGAAGCCGTTTCCTGGAATGCGGCCAGGAGCATTTCCTGTGAAGAGGCAGTCAACAGGACATCATCCATGTAATGAATTATTTTTATTTTTGGGAATTGTTGTCTAACGGGTAGGAGGGCCTGAGCTACATATAGCTGGCATATTGTCGCGCTATTGGCCATCCCCTGTGGAAGCATTTTCCATTGATAACGAGTATCGGGTTGCTCATGGTTAACCAATGGCAAAGTGAATGCGAATCGCTCCCTATCATCTGGGTGCAAAGGAATGGAAAAAAAAGCAATCCTTGATGTCCAAGGCCATGACCGGCCAGCTACGTGGCAAGGCAGAGAGTAAGGGTAGTCCCCTCTGGACTGCACCCATAACCTGCATCTGAGCATTAACTGCACGCAAGTCATGTAATAATCTCCATTTTCCTGAGCTCTTTTTAACAACAAAGATAGGGGTGTTCCATGGTGAAACAGAAGGCTCCACATGCCCGAGCCTTAATTGTTCTAAGACCAGGTTTTTTGCAGCTTCCAATTTTTCTTGAGAAAGGGGCCACTGGGGAACCCATACCGGCTTATTGGACTCCCAGGGTATGGGCAAAAGATTGTTATTGGAAGCCGATTCTTCAGTGGCCCCTAGGAAAAACCCAGGCCCTTTCTATCCTGTTTTTTCATAGACTCTATAGGCCTGCGACAACCCTGAAGATTCTTCCCCAGGCCCTTAGATGGAACAAAACCTTGTCTTTTCATCATACTTTTACTAGCCTCTGAATAATCATTAGTTAGCTTAAGTTTCAATTGATGTTGAATGTCACGGCCCCACAAATTAATGGGAACTTCAACCACGAAGGGTTGAACCGTGCCTTGTTGGTCCTCCATTTTCCAGACCAGCTCTTTGGCACTCATGTATGGGGTGCGTGCGTAGCCCAGCCCTTGTAAGGATTGAGATGACTGTTGCAATGGCCAGCGCTTGGGCCAGGCTTGCAGCTGGATAATACTCCGGTCTGCCCCAGTATCCACCAATCCGGAGAATATCTTTCCCTCTATCATTAAATCCAGCATGGGCCTCTGATCTAGTTCCATAGACAGACAGGCAAGGTCCACTCCAGTGGAGCCCAACCCCTTGTCATTCCTTTCCTTAAGATGTGCAGGAAAGGTCTCATGCTTAGATGGTAGTATAAGCAGTTGGGCAATCCTGTCCCCTGGCGCAATAGAAATCACGCCACAGGAAGAATGACACAGGATCTTAATCACTCCAGTATAATCGGAATCAATGACTCCTGGAAAGACAATCAAGCCTTTCATAGTGGATGAGGATCGTCCTAAGACAATCCCCACTGTTCCTTTTTCTAAGGGGCCATACATGTCAGATTCAACCACCTGAATTCCCATCTCCTGGGTTAACACCAGTCCGGTGGAGGCACGGAGGTCCAACCCTGCTGAGCCTGAGGTTGCTCGGCGGATACAGTCGGGTTGGGAATGGTGGTCTGCTGCAGTGCCCCATAAATTTTCGGGCCCTGGGGACGGGGGCCCCTCAATCCGTTTTTTGACTCCTGGCCACCGAGCTGCATAATGGGCTGTCCATTGATGTCCTTAAAGGACCGGCATTCATTGGCCCAATGCTTTCCGTTCTTACATCTTGGGCAAATGCCAGGTTGCCTCACATTAGGAGTCTGAGCCGGAGAAGACAGCCCTTTCAGTAACGGGCATTGTCTCCTAAAATGTCCTTGTTGTCCACACTTGAAACATCCTCCTCCTTTCCTTGTCTTTGCGGCCTGAGTAGCAGATAAAACAGCAGCCGCTAAGCCTGCATTGGTAAGGGGCCCTCCAACCTCTCGGCAGGCTTTTAGCCAAGCCTCAATTCCCTTCTCTCTAACAGGAGTAATGGCCCCCTGACATTCCTTAGTACTCTGTTCAAAAACAATCTGCTGTACCAACGGCATCACCTGATCCACATCCCCAACAATCTTTCCAGCCATATCAAGCATCCTAGCCACAAAATCAGAGAAGGGTTCATTTGGCCCCTGAATAATCTTTGTTAGGTGGCCTTTGACTTCTCCTTTATTATTCAAGGACTTCCATGCCCTATAGCAGATATCATTAATCTGTTGGTACACCTCCTGAGGATATCCTAGCTGGTCGGCAGCCCATTGCCCTTGCCCCAAAAGCATATCCGCTGTCCATTGGGGACGATTATTCTGGGCATTCACCCTAGCTTGGACATGAGCTTTATCTGTAACAATGGATTTAAAATCCAAAAATTGTCCCATACTTAGGCAAGCCTTAGCAGTCTCAAACCAATCTGTAGGAGTCATGGCCATGGTGGCGATTCTACGCAGCAAGGCTATGGTATAATTAGCTGTAACTCCATAGGTTCGAACTGCTTCCACTAAATCCTTTAACTGTTTATAAGATACAGGCTCATAATGTCTCTCATTAGTCTGCAGGTCTTCAAAAACTGGAAATGCAGACGCTAGACGTGCCCATGTATCTCTTTTAATAAAATGGCATCCCCCTCTCCCTTGTGAATAGGATGGAAGCACAGGGGGCGGGCATGGTTCCCGTGGCGCCAATGGGCCCACACCCACCCCTGCTGACTCATTATTTGCAGGGGGCCGCCTCCATCCATATCCTTCCTCCTCATAGTCAGCGGAGGTTTCCTCCAGATCTTCATCCTCCTGAGGGTCTACCTCCTCCTCAGACCGATCCAGGCTCGCAAATTCCTCGAGCGCTGGATAGAGGGGACTCCTCCCCTTCTCATTAGCCTCTCTTTTAGAGAGGTTTGTACCAGGATCCTTTTCTCTTGCTTTTTTTCTTTCAGGCCTTTCCAAGTTTCCTCCCTTTGAATCTGAATCTGAAAAACTGTTCTTGTGTTTAATGCGGGCCTTTCGCCCCTCTCTCGGAACGTCAACTTTGTTCCCCGCCCTGAGGTTGCGGCCGGACTTACGGCAGTGCAACCAGAGACAGCAGGCCAGTATAAACATCACAAACGCCACGAACACGAGACCAAACACCCAAGAACCCACTCCCACAAACAGCATACTTGGGGAGACTGAAATTAGCATACTGGGAGAAACTTACCGACGTCGCCACTCCGCGTGTTGAGTTCAGAATCCTCTTCGGCCCTTCGCCTGGCGACCGAAGTTCCCGGGTTTCGGCACCAGCTGTGGCGGACCTCTCGACCGGCAATGAAGAATGACCACCACACCAGGATTCCACTCAGATCACGCTTTTACTGGAGTGCCCTTGATTGACGGGGAGCATGGAATGAGGGGCGGGAAAATGAGGAACAGGGAGCAGACGGGAGAGGCAGCAGGAAGCGAAGGGGCCGGGGTGCACTAAGGCAGCCGCTTAAATAGGGAATTGGCACACGGGTAGCCCTGTGATTGGCTGCCACCAACAGCTGACACCAGACCGCATCGGGATAGGCTCAAGGATCCTCATCCTCTGCGCATGCGGGAAGCGGGGACGCGCAGCTCTCAAAGCCATAGCCAAATATGGAGTTGTTTATAACCAACAAGACAGGATGTCGGCGCCATCTTGTAATGGCGATCCTGTCCGGCTCACTACACTTTCTTACTGGGAAAATGAAAGCAATGGGAGCTCTGTAGTAGTTGTATGCTGTCTTTGCCAATTTAGAATTTCTAGGTTGTCAATAAATATAAAAAACAAAGAGCTAAGTTGGTGTTTCAAATCAACAATGCCTTAAATGTTTCATGGGGCTCATTTACATTGGATGTTATATAATATTTGATGGCACACTTACAGTAAAAAGTATTCCCGGTTGTTAAGAAATCCAGACTTAAACAAATATTGATGTGGGAGTCCCCTCTGTGTGCTGTGATTACTATTAATGAATAAAGAAACTGACTTGGCTGTTGATAGGGCAGAACTTAGATAGGCAGAGAAAACTAAACAGAATTCTGGGAGGAAGAAGGCAGAGCCAGAGGGAAGCCTTGGAGCTGTGGGAGACAGGCATGCTGAAACTTTGCTGGTAGTCCATGACCTCGTGGTGATGCACACATTAATAGAAATGGGTTAAATTAAGATGTAAGAGTTAGCCAATAAGAAGCTAGAGCTAATGGGCCAAGCAGTGATTTAATTAATACAGTTTCTGTGTGATTATTTCGGGTCAAAGCTAGCCGGGCAGCCGGGAATGAACATGTTGCCAGCCTCCTCCAACAAGATATCACAAATTATACAGTAAACATATCCATGCCCCTTCTTGCCTTCTCAGATAATCTGAATAGTCCAAGGGAAATATTAGGCAGCAATCCCTTCTTGCTGCTGTTTCTTGTTCCATGGTAGTCAGGTTAACTTTAATCCTTAGTTTGTGTGGACCAGTCTATTCAACTCCGACATGTGGATTCACTTTCCACTTCTGATTTAGGAATCTAAGAGTTGCTGACAGCCATGTTGAACATGAATAGAGAGACCAGAGAAGGGAGGAAGTGGCAGATGTGACCCTGGGAATGGAGGGAAGACTGGATACCAATGACATTGCCGGATGCTCCAGTTTGCTTATGGCCAGTTCAGTATGTGCTTCCGGCCACGTGAACTGTTTTTAGAAACCAAGTTCTTTCTAAGTCATTTAGAGTGGAGCTTTGTCACTTATAACAAGAAAATCTCCAAAACAATATGGAGCATGATCAAGTTTTCTATTAAGTGAAAACTCTTTAAGAGATCAACCCAAGTTCTCTCACATAAAGATGTTGACAAAGTATCATTTCAACGTTTCTTAGCCTTTTCTAATCTCTTTAGTGCCCCCACTATCCCTAAGTCAACAATAGTCTATGTGTAGCAAACGGTAGACACCACAAGCCCAAACTCCTAGCCGAAGAATGCTATGTGATGTGGGAGGTGATGTATGTGTGAATACATTTTATTGCCTTTGTTTAATAAAGAAGCCGCTTTTGGCAAATGACCTAACAGAGTGAAGCCAGGCTGAAAGAGATATAGAGAAAGAGAAGAGGAGTAGCTATGTAGCTACCGCCAGGACAGATGCCTCCAATGGAGCCCACCAAAATTTTGTCGGTAGGTCACGATCTTGTGGTGATGCACAAATTAATGGAGATGGGTTGGCTTAGGATTTAAGTGCTAGCTAGCAATATGCTTAAGCTATTTGCCAAGCAGTGTTGCCAATAATATAGTTTCTGTGGGATTATTTCTGGGCTGAGCAGCCGGGCATGAATGAACATCCTCAGTCAACAGGTATGGTGCTTAAGAGCCCAACAGTGTTCACTCCATTGTATAGCCTGTCACCCATAAGCATATGGACAACATAAATCCGACTTTCAGTTATTTTTTTAAAGGACATAAAGCTGGGGAGAAGGTGGAGGGGTACAGGTGGATCTTGGAGAAGCTAATGAGGGGCAAATATAATAAAAATACTTTGCATGAAACACTCAAAGAATTAATAAAGTATAATATATTTGAACATGATAGAGAGATTTAAAATTTATCTCCAAATAAGAAGCAAGGTAGAAAACAAAACAACTAAACCTTCTAACAACTGTGAGGCTGGACAAATTTTTAATAGAAAATACCACTTTTTTTTAACCTCCTGTAGACACATGTAGCAGTATTTTCCAACTACATAAAAAGCAAACGTGGACTTACTCATTAAAAAAGAATAGGCAGTAATGTCCAGAAATGAGAGGCTCTAATTGCCATGATTAATAGTTGGATCAGACAATGTTCTCTCCTAAAAATCTGTAGGAAAGATAATTCTTTGCAAGCTTGTGCTAATGTTGTAAGCAGTGGAGAAGCCAGATGTCCTGTGATCCTCATATTGAGAATTTGTGTTGAAGTATGTGTGTAATGTAGTATATTTTATGTTTCCACTGAGAAGTTTTGTAGGACTATATCCAACAATGAAAGTCCATTGGCCTGGTCTTAGGATGAGAGGCTTCACTACTGCCCACTTTCTATGTTCATCACAATTCTGATTGTTTAAAGCACCGATCTAGCTTTCTAATTGCAGTAACCATTTTTCTCTAGAACATACAAGTCTGTAACAAAAGATACAATTGATGCTGGAGTTAGATGAAGTTGAAATAAACAACAATTAATATCTTCTATTTTGATTACTAAAAAACTGATTCATGATAAGAAAAGAGGCTGACTCAGGGTAGATGACACTATAGCACTCAATTTAATACAGGGTGGGATATCATTTGCAGATAAAGAGCATGGAGCCCAATTTGCCACTGTGGTCTGAATCTGTAAATTAAGTCGCAAGAATGGGAAAGTTCAGGGGGTGCTTGGTCTGGAGGCCGTGCAAGCCAGTGTCAGGGCTGAGAGCAAATGACTCTAAAATTTTGTGCCCTACAGCTCCACTGTATTCACGCTGGTCCCGGCCCTGAATGACAAATCAAGTTACATGGACTATAAATGCTTGTAAGACTCAGAACCTGCAGTACAAATTACACTGCATCGTCCTGGAGTCTGCACCAATATTTGCACACACGTAAACACCACTCTCATTTTAGATGATGCATAATAGTGTTAGGAAACGGACAAGCATTATTGCTAGGTCCTTAACAGGAATACCATGACTACACATCAGCAAAATGGAGCAAGCCAAGTGTGCACATCACCAGCTCATCAGTGATTTGAAGAGTTCTCGTGACCAACACCATAAATACATCTGAAGTTTTATTCAAGTGAATTAAATATGCTGAGTTGTTTCTCAAATTTTTAATAGAAATAATAACTGTGATCAGCATAGTCTGACCTCCAGGGCACTAGCCCTGCCTACACCTTCACTTGCTGCCTTTGCCCGCATCCTCTTGTCTTCAATGTCTCTGCCTGTGGAGGTGTCTTAGGTTGTGTCCTTGTTCTCTGTCCTCCACAGCCCTAGAGAAGTCAGAACATCTGTTGCTGTTCCTACTTAGAAGGGCTAATATCAATAGCAGGACTCAGCTGTGAATCCATACCTGGCCTCTCAGGCACATATTCACAGAAAACGGCAGGCATTCATTTTAGTAATCCATCCACAGGGACTAAAACAGGCAGTTGTCTTTTTTAGCACCTATTTTATATACTAACCAAATTATTCTTTCTAGCTAGCAGGGAAAATTTAAATTACCTGATGATACGGGATAAGAATATGCATTTTACAACAGTTGCAGACAGAAGAAAGGGATTCTGTCCTATACTGAAAATCAAAGAGACCACAGTATGCATTCAGTCCACAACCCAGTCTGTAAAACTGGAACTCTGGGCCTTCAATCAACCAAGACTAGAGGATGTGAAAACTTCCTGAGTTCAGCCTCATTTAACGCTGAGAAAACACCTCCTGACGGATGTGGCCTGCCTGTTTTATCTTCCATCTGGTGTTCATTAATTACTGGGAGCATTAATGATAACTTGAAAGCCATTTTGCAAAAACAATGAAGTAGAAGATGCTCCGCATTATATTTAATGCTCAAGACAGTCATTTAATTCCATCAATTTTGAACAGGTGGGTCTATTATACTCTTTGCTATTTGTCTCATATGACTGATTTCCACTCTTACAACTTTCACAACTCCATGCTAAGTGACTAAAAAGGTGCTTAATTAAATGTGTGCTTGATAATTAGGGTTTTCACAATCAAGTGCAGATGGAGAAAATGCAATTGACTGTGGAGCAGAGCGGTCCAGTGAGCTGTCAGAGAGGCTTGGACTTGTGTGAGCCAGACACAAAGAGATCTTGGTAGAGTTCTACTAGTGGAAGACTTTATTCCTT